CAAAAAAAGCTATTGACGAGGGGCTGGAGGTAGATAAAACCTCAGCTTTGGCTCTAGAAGAACAATGCTATGAACAAACGTTGAACACAAATGATCGCTTGGAAGCCCTAGCAGCATTTTCTGAGAAGCGAAAGCCAAAGTATACCGGAGCTTAAGATGATAAACTTGCTATAATAGATAGAAAGAATACTTTCTGTATTTCATTGCTTAATCAGGAAGTAATTACAACTGAGTTTATATACACTTTGCTAAATAAGCTTAGTGACTAATAACACTAGATTAATGACTAATACAATGATTAGTTACAAAACAGAAAATATGTAAGTATGAGGTGTCCCTTTACCCTCCCTCAAGCTAAACGTAGGAGATCCGAGAGATAGCTTGGACTGCAACAACTTGAATCTGGCCTTGGAAAGTGCCTTAGTGTGAATATCAGCAATTTGGTGTTGAGTACCAACATACTGGATTCGAATCAGATTGGCTAAAATAAGTTCCCTGATATAATGATAATCAATTTCCACATGTTTCGTACGAGCATGAAATACAGGATTAGATGCCAAAGAGATTGTCGAGACATTGTCACACCAAAGTTGAGGAGCTTGGCAAAAGGGACCAAAGTTGAGGAGCTTGGCAAAAGGGAAAGGTGATATCATTTAGAATTTTGCAGATCCATGTCAATTCTACAGCAATGTGGGCAAGAGAACGATATTCAGCCTCTGTGGAGGATCGAGCAACAGTGTGCTGCTTTTCTGCACTCCAGCTAATCAAGTTAGTACCCAAATACACACAATAACCACTTGTAGATTGATGATAAAAAACGCAGCCTGCCCAGTCAGCATCTGAAAAGGCTGAGAGATGTAAAGAGCCTTTCTTGAACCACAAACCTTGAGCAATAGAACCATTAAGAAATCTCAAGATTCTTTTGATTGCTTGAAAATGAGGTTCTCGTGGACAATGAAGGAATTGGCACACTTGGTTCACAGCAAAGGAAATATATGGTCTTGTCCAAGTGAGGTACTGAAGAGCACCTACAATGGATCTATATTCCTTAGGATTAGAAAATAAGGTCCAGTGTCATCCAACTTAACTGATCCAAGAGGTGTTGAACATGGTTTGCTGCCATCCATGTGATATCCCACATCGCCCAGGGGAGTAATACTTAAATGTATATTCTCATCCCTAACTAGCACGAGGCTTTTTGGGAGCTCACTGGCTTCGGGTTCTGTAGGAACTCCGAACTGAAGCGAGAAGGGGGCTAGAGCAATCCTATGATGGGTGACCCACTGGGAAGTTGCTCATGAGTTCCCAAAAACAAAACCATGAGAGCGTGGTCGGGGCCCAAAACGGACAATATCGTGCTACGGTAGTGGAGCGAGCCCGGGAAGTGATCTCCCCTGGGCCGGGATGTGACAAATTGGTATCAGAGCCTAACCCTGGTCGTGGTGTGCCGATGAGGACGTCGGGCCCCTAAGGGGGGTGGATTGTGACATCCCACATCGCCTAGAGGAGTGATCCTTAAATGTATATTCCCATCCCTACTTAGCACGAGGCCTTTTGGGAGCTCACTGGCTTCGGGTTCCGTAGGAACTCCGAAGTTAAGCAAGAAGGAGGCTATAGCAATCCCATAATGGGTGACCCACTGGGAAGTTGCTCGTGAGTTCCCAAAAACAAAACCGTGAGGGAGTGGTCGGGGCCCAAAGCAGACAATATCGTGCTACGGTAGTGGAGCGAGCCCGGGAAGTGATCCCCCCCGGGCCGGGATGTGACAAATTGGTATTAGAACCTAACCCTGGTCGTGGTGTGTCGACGAGGACGTCGGGCCCTTAAGGGGGTGGATTGTGATATCCCACATCGCCTAGGGGAGTGATCCTTAAATGTGTATTCCCATCCCTACCTAGCACGAGACCTTTTGGGAGCTCACTGGCTTTGGGTTCCATAGGAACTCCGAAGTTAAGCGAGAATGGGGCTAGAGCAATCCCATGATGGGTGACCCACTGGGAAGTTGCTCGTGAGTTCCCAAAAACAAAACCATGTCCGTGTCCGGTTCACTTAGTTGTCCGAGGCGGGTCTACGCTACTAACATTAGGGGTAGAGGCCCATGCCAGTAGCACCGCACCAGTGCTTGCTTGCTATGAGGTAACTCGCCCCAGCCTTTTCTTATTAGTTGCAGACCTCTCATCCTTCGGGGAGCGGGAATGGTAAGCCCAAAGCGGACAATATCGTGCTACGGTAGTGGAACGGGCCCGGGAAGTGATCCGTCCTGGGCCGGGATATGACAATCGATCTTTGTTTTAACAAGGAGATTAAGTGCATATTTGCCCTGAGACAAAAATAAGCCTTCTGAAGTTTTGTGAACCTCTAACCCAAGGAAATAGTGAAGAGGTCCCAAGTCTTTGACCGGAAAAAGAGTACTTAGTTGATGGATAAAAGCTTGATAGTGAGATGTATTTAGACCATCCACTAGGATGTCATCAACATACACTAGGATTACAACTAGAGAGGGTTGGTGTTGAACAAACAAGGAACAATCTGATTTTGAGTTTGCAAAACCAAGAGAGACTAAAGTATGAAAAAGTTTATCATACCAAGCTCTAGGGGCTTGTTTCAAGCCATAGAAGGATTTGTTAAGCTTGCAAACAAAGGAAGATCTTGTGGAATCAACAAAACCAGATGGCTGCTGCATAAAGACTTCTTCCTTGAGATTGCCATGAAGGAAGGCATTGCTTATGTCCAATTGGTTTAGAAACCAGGTATGTTGGACTGCAAGTGTTAACAAGATTCGAATGGTGACTGGTTTTGCAATGGGGCTAAATTTTTCTTGGAAGTCAACTCCTTCTTGCTGGTGGAAGCCCTTAGCCACAAGACGGGCTTTGTACCTATCAATAGTACCATCGGGTTTTCTATTGATTTTGAAAACCCATTTTGCATCCTACAACATTGTGATGAGGAGATGATGGTACCAGAGTCCATGTACCATTATGCTGCAAAGCTTGAAACTCTTCAGTCATTGCTTGTTTCCAATGGTTATGTTTGGAAGCTTGTAGATAAGTGGTAGGGACAAAGCTGGTAGGATTAATTGGATGCTTAGTGGCAACCAATACTTTAGGTTTAAAGATGCCAGCCTTTGACCTTGTGATCATTGGATGTGTATTTGCAAAAACAAGAGGTTGTGATGTAGTAGACTTTGAGGACAAACTGTCTTGTGAGGCAAATGGCACTTGGGATGAGATTGGTGCTGGAGAAGATGATGGCTGTGATTGTTGGTCTGAAGGAGACATGGATGCATTACTGCCCAAAGATAAGGAAATAGACTGAGAAGAACTTGTAGGAGAGACAGGAAAGGGTAATGTGAAAGTTGCTGCAGATCCTGTAGAAACAGATTCGAATAACGGAGATCCTTGAGACTGTGATAAACCTTGAAAAGGAAAATGGTCTTCATTAAAAATGACATGCCTAGATATATACAGCCTTTGTTGCAGAGAGTACTTTTGCCATCAAGCTTCGAAAAGACATATGCTTTAAGCCAGGGGTAACAACTGCAACCAAAAATTTTAAGTTTGGAATAATCTGGAGCCTTTTTGAAGAGTAACTCCCAAGGAGATTTGTCCAACTTAGATAAAGGCAATCAATTAACTAGATACAAAACCCAGAATTTGTGAGGAACATGTGAAACCACTAAGAGAGTTCTAGCAGTTTCTGTGAGATGCCTGTGTTTGCGCTCAACACAGCCATTTTGTTCTGGAGTGTGAGGGCAACTAATTGATGAAAAATGCCATGATTCATAAGAAAAGAATTGAAAGCAGAACTGGTGAATTCTCCCCCGGAATCGGATATGAAGATTTTGATTTTATTTCCAACCAAATTTTCAACATATGCTTTGAAATTGACAAATACAGAGAACACCTCAGATTTTGCCTTCAATGGAAATAACCATGTGTACTTAGTGAACTCATCAACAAAGTCAACAAAGAGTACATAGTATTTGTAGCCACTAACAGAGAGCACTGGAGCTGGCCCCCAAACATCACATTGAATCAATTCAAGACTGGCAGAGACAATACTAGTACTAGAAGAAAAGGGTAACTTGTGATTTTTAGCTATGGCACAATGTGTGCAAAAGAAATTTACAGACTTGTCACCACTGTGACCAAGTGAAGCTTTATGTAAAATTTTCCTAAACATTGCTATAGAAGGATGCCCAAGCCTCCTATGCCATGTCTGAAGTGTAGCTTTAGTATTGAAAAGAGCTGAGTGTGCAGAAGTGGAGGGAATGCCTTGAAGAGGGTAGAAACCTTCTTTAACTGGTCCTTGAAAAAGCATCCTCCCCGTAGAGCGATCCTTGATTGTTGAACCATCATAATCAAGAGTTAAAGCACACTTATTATCTTTTAAAAACTGATAGGTAGAGAGAAGATTGAACTTCATCATAGGAACATGCAGAACATTATTCAATCGAAATGTAGCTGATGATGTTTTAAGCACAGAATTGCCAGAGTGATGAATCGACATACCTTGCCCATCACCAATGTACACCTTCTCTTCGCCAGAGTAAGGAATAGGGGAATGAATAACAGAGATATCATTAGTGTTATGGGATGTGGCGCCAGAGTCAATAAACCAAGTAGGAGAGGTAGCTTTGGAATTGGTATGCACACACATAGCAGCTAATTTGGCATGAGGTATTTTACCAGCAAAAGCATGATTCATCCTTTCATAACAATCAATGGCTTCATGCTCAAAGGAATGACAGATTTGGCAAGGATGTTTACCACCAGAATACGTGTTATTGAGAGGAAATCCACCAGATTGAGAACGATTACCAGAGTGAGTGCGAAAATGGCCAGAACCATTGCCAGAATTATGAAAATTACCACGAAATGGTTGAAGTTCTTAGAAGAGTTACCACGATAGTTGCGTTGAGACGATCATTTGCCATGATTGTTCTGAAATCTGGGAGGTGCATTGAACTGCACAACATAAGCTTGTGGAAAGGGAAAGTACTATGATGTAGGAAGGAGAGGGCCCTGAGATTGAGCGGCAAAGGCCTGAAAAGGCTCTTGAGCAGAAGAAACAGTGCCCTTCTTTTTGCGATTCATGAATAATTCCTTGTTGATCAACAAACCATGAAGTTCATCCAGAGTAGTTGATGAAATTCGTAGCATAATAGATTCAATGAAGGATTCATATTCATCAGATAAGCCATTGAGAGTGACAGCAATTAGGTCATGATCAGAGACTGGTGATCCAACCGCCATTAAAGCATCAGAAATACCTTTAATGCTTTGCAGATACTCAGAAATTGAGAGATTACCTTTGGTGACATAGTGTAAACGAGATCTTAGTTGATGAATATGAGCCGCAGAAACATCTCCGAATCGATTCTCAAGATTAAGCCAGAGATCACAAGATAAAGTCACACCAACAGTAAATGGAATAATTTCTTCAAAAAGGGTGGAGTTAAGCCAAATCATGATATTTTGATCCTTCTCATACCAAGCTTCATAGGCAGGATTAGGAGCTACAGTAGGGCGATAGATCGGATCAAGAAGATAAGGCGGTGGACAAGGCTTGAAGCCATCAACGATGCCGGTGAGCTTGTAGAGCCTGAAAATCGGAGCAAATGGAGCTTTCTAGACTAGGTAATTGTCACGTTTCAGCTTCATAGGCACCATACAACTGATGTTTTGGATCGTGATCGAAGAGATTGACGAATTTGAGAAATTAGGGTTCATTGAAGAGAAATTGGGTGCAACAAACTCATTCGGTGCAGGATGTGGAGGAACAATTTCAGGATTCGGTGAAGAAGTGGACGACGCCATTGTTGAGAAGAAGAAGAAATTGAAGAATCGAGAGAGATCTTGAAGATCGAGAAGACGATCGGAAAGATTGAATCGCACAAAAAGGCGGTGAAAAGATCGAAAGGAGGTTAAGTAGAGAGGTGAGTGATACCAAGATAGAAAGAATACTTTCTGTATTTCATTTCTTAATCAAGAAGTAATTACAACTAAGTTTATATACACTTTGCTAAATAAGCTTAGTGACTAATAACACTAGATTAATGACTAATACAATGATTAGTTACAAAACAGAAAATATCTAAGTATGAGGTGTCCCTTTAATAATGTGTCTTGGATAAGTTTCTTGGTTGGACCGAAGTAAAATTGTCAGCAATGACAAAAATGACAGGTCACTGGAAGTCTTAATTTTATTTGATCATACTTTACCATTTAATGAATAACTGATTAAATGTTATGTTTGGGTGTCTCTGGATTGAATGTGTTCTTAGTAAATATAATAAATGTACTCAATATCGTTCTTTTTTACACTTGACAACAAAATGGTCTTCGTTAAACAGAGGCTAGTTTCTTAGGGAAGTGTCTTTACTAAGAAAAGCTTGTGCTTGAACTCGCTCCTTTTAGTTTAAGCGTATACGGGATCTCATGCTTGAAATTAATGGCAGTGATGAAATGAACTATCATTAAAGGCTCAGAAATATGATTTTAGGGTATTTACAACGTGTCATTGTGTATGGTATATTTTTAGATTTTTGTTGAAAAATAATTATGGTTTAGTGACACCAGTAATTTCTATTAAAATTCACAATCAGTATGTTGACATTTAGAAAGAGAGGGAAAAAAATTTATAATGCCAAAAAGGAAAAAGAAATTTAGAAGCAATGTATTACATCAATGCCAAAATAAAATTTAAACATATCAAACAGATTTGTATGGTAAAAATAGCAAAATATAATGTATCATTGTTGGAGTTTGACGACAGTTATCCATGTCAGTTATGTCGTATTCACTTCAGCACTACCCTTGAGTGCTTGTGCTTGCCTTCATTGGCAACAAACCTTTCGTAGTTGAAAAATATTGGTATGTCACTAAAATAGGATAAATTTATGTTAGTGTTGCCACAACCTCAACTCTTACTTTGTATAAAACATTGCATTCTAGTGGACCAATATCATTCCTAGTAGGATTCGTAGGCGTAGGAATTAGAGTTCCCAGCGTATGGCACTAATATCATTCCCCACAAAACATTGCTAATATTGATAAACCAATGCCTACATTGCATCTAGTCCAAGAGCTTCTTTAGAATGTATTTTGAGCCAACAAAAATTCTATTTCCTAATCAACCCTCTTACCGAACTAAATACAACACTTAGCAAATAAAAATTTTAACCATAAAGGAAATTGAATAAAATATACACTGAATTTGTTAGTTTATGCCTAATTGGTGGATTTTTCAATTTAAACTCCATCCCAAACCCAATCCACCAGGCGCCATCATGCCCTCTCCCCCACTTGGGGATCTTCCCACCCAGCCCCATCGATTCTTCTAACCCTCCTCCGCCCTTTCCTACCCCCCTCGCACAAACACCCCAGGATTTGTCGTCACCAACAACGACCAAATAAAGAGGGAGAGTTTTTTGTATAACATTATCTTCCAAGTTGTAACGTAAAGGAAACGACATGTGAGAGAAAAGGGTGGTTAGGAGTCATAGGAAGTTAGGAACTACTTCTACTAGGAATCGAGATAGAGGAGAGAGGGAGGGGTTACTGGTGGCCGGTTTGTCGTGGAGAGTTGGGGTTTCTGATGGGTGTGGTGAACAACTTGAATACTTTCTTTTAGTCTCCACTCATGCAATCAACCTCTAATTCCATGTTGATATTTCGTCCTTTACGCTTTGTGTTCCTACCAAGGAGAGAATTTTTCATGTTACTTCTGTGATAGTCTACCATGTAAAATTCTCTCCCCGAGACCATCCCCTTCGTATTCACAACTATAAAACAGTACGTTGTCTTTTCGTTCAGGTTGTTCATTTTGATAAAGATACCCCTACATTAGTTGTTTCCTTGTATGATCTTCTGCAATTTATAGCTAAATGGTATTATTTTTAAGTTTATATGGAAACATCCACCGATTAGGAATAGGGTAACAAATTAGGTGTATCTATTCCTAGGAAAAAAATAATTTGTTGAGTATTTTATTTAATTTGTTATGAGCTCAATTAGGAAATACAAGTTGCGTTGGCCGAAAATACATTCTATAAAAGCTCTTGGACCAGATTGAATGTAGGTAGGCATTGTATTGTTGGGAATTGTGTTAGTGTCATATGCTGGTAACTCTAATTCATACGACAATCGGTAGAGTATTTGTCCACTAGAACGCAACATTTGTACAAAATAATAGCGAAAGTTGTGGCTACGCTACAAAAATTCTGGTCTTATTAGAGTGGCATAGCAACTGTTTTTAGCTACAAAAGGTATGGCCCAGTAATTGCTTGAGTCCTATGAGTTTCGCCTTTGTATTGTTTGTACCTGTGGTATTAGCAAGGTTTTTTCCTCAAGAAGTATACACGGTCTAACCCACAAGAATCCAAAATTATACATGTATTGTGGTAAATGTGATATGTTTGGGATATTAGTTAAATTATATTTGTGATTCAAATAGATGTTATGTTACTAGTGAACATACCCTAAATTCATATTTGCAAACGTTTAGTGATAGATTATTGCATCATCACAAGTTCATACAGATATTAAATGAATGAAATATCATACTCTTCTTAAAAATAAAAAATAACAGGGTGAACTAAGAAATGAATAAATCGTGAATCTTCTTAGATCTATGAAATATCGAAATGTAGAAAGTAAGAACGAATTACCTAAAATAGCTTCGGAAAAGAACGTTACTTCCCTCTAATGCTTTTTCTTACCATTGTCTCAAATGCCAAGCAACGATAATTATAACAAAACATTAAAATCCTGTAAATTGATGTCAAACTTTGATATCTAAAAATGTGATTGAAGATTTCTAAAGAAAAATGCTAAGTTGTGCTTCAATGGTGGTAGACAAAAATGATATTTAGTAAGTAGAAACAGTTGGAGACTTGTTTTAGGGAATAGTGAAATATTGGGCACAACATTGCATGCAGCTAGATTCTGCCAAGTGTCTCATATTTTAAAAACTTAGAAAAATGCAAAGTATGAGGACTAAAAATTCAAAATCATTTTAACACTAAAGGGAAATTCGAAAAAAGTTTAAGAACCATTGATGCAATTAATTAAAGAAAACATGAAACACATACCGCGAACTTTTCGTCACATAATAGAGTCTTTCTCGTGTTTTCATTTTTTTTTTTAACAAAATGTTTGCTTCCTATATTGCTTAGGTGGATGACAAATGGATATCATGTAGATGGGGAACTAATATAAAAAGCAAATTATTTAAAAAATTGAACGACTTGAGAACTGAAATTTTAAATTTATATTGGATGTGGACCTAAACATTGTTCTTTAAGAAAGTATTTGGTTACCAAGACAAATTTTAAGTTCTCAAGTCGTTTAAATTTTTTTTTTCTATTAGTTCTCTATCTGCATGGCATCCATTTGTCATCCACCTTAAGCATATATGAAGCAAACATAATGTCAAAAATGAAAACACAAGGAAGACTCTGTTATGTGAAGAAAATCTCCCGATAGCAGAATGTGTTTCATGCTTTATTATTATTATTTTTTTTCAAAATTAATTGCATCAATGGTTCCTAAACTTTTCCCAAATTTCACTTTAGTCCCTAAATTTGTTTTGAATTTTTTAGTCCTCATTCTTTTGCATCTTTGTAAATCTTTAAAATGAGAGACACTTAGCAGGGTCTAGTTGCATGTAATTTCATATTCCTGCTCAGTGTTTCGCCATTCCATAAAACAAGTCTTGAACCGTTTCTACTTATCATATATGATTTTTATCTACCACCATTGAAGCGCATTTTCAGATCTCAAGGTTTTTAGTCCTCATTGAACCATTTCGCTATTCCATAAAACAAGTCTTCTTTTGAAATCCTTCGTCGCATTTTCAGATCTCAAGGTTTGAAAGCGAGATTTCTAGGAGTTTTTTATTGTATTGTTTTAATCATGGTTGTCTAGCATTTGAGACGCCAGTAAGAAAGAGTACTAGAGGGTCTTGAGTGACGTTCTTCCCCGAAACTATTTTAGGTAATTATTTCTTACTTTCTGATATTTTGTAGATCTAAGAAGGTTGATTCATTTCATAGTTTTCCTTGTTCATTTTTTTTTAAAGAATAGTATGATATTTCGTTCACTAAAAAAAGGGCATTACGTATCATGAAGAACTCAGCCACGAAGGGCCCTTGCAAACTAAATCCAAAAATATTATAATAAAGCATCGCCAAGCAATGACTAGACTTTAAAAACCCGATCTCATCAAGGACTGTAAGATTACACAAATCAATAACCGTTAAACCTCGTGTTAAACGAAGATCATGTGAGTCTTATTTTATGCGGAAGCAGATTATAATAAAATACCAAATATAATGTCGTAAGTGAAAGCAAAAACAATTTCAAATGGAACTTAAGAAATTTATATGGTTCGGCGAAAAACCTACATCCACAGGCAAAGCACGACAAGGAATTTCAGTAAACAAAAGGTGATTACAAAAGAGTGTTTAAACTCTCACAATCCAAAACCTATAAATTACAATCCCTAACAAAGCCAAACGAGTAGACAACTTGAAACAAACGGAGAAGGTTCTCTCAAATTGCTCTCTACTTCACAAATTGACTCTTAACAAATTGCCACACAAATGATTCATACTAAATAAACTATGTTTAAGGTCCTATTTATAGAGCATAGGACTTAGGTTTATATAGGAATCTTAATAGGAAGTAAAATATAAATCCTAATAGGCAAGGAAATCAAATCATTATCTTTTAATGATAAAGAAACCAACAAGGAAGTAAAAAACCCAACCAAATAGGACACAATTAGCCTAAATAGGAGGTAATGCAAACCAAATTTTTGCATCATTCGAATTTTGAGATGCAAATCACAATAGGTAGAACAAAAATCTCAATCATAATGGGATAGGGAGTACGATGTCTATTAGTCTAATTGCATCACCTAATCACCACCATGATCACAGAACACCAAGTGAAGTAAATCCAACAAACTAAACTTGCTCCACCCTTCACAGATAGATCCAAACGAGATGTAGCACACCAAAACAAAAATTAAAATGAAACAACTCTCCTATAGAGAGAAATCAAACTAGCAAACTCTTCTAAAGGGAGAAAACCAACTCTAGGACAATTCATAAAAATTATCAAACCAAACAGAAATAAAAAGATAATAAAACCATGATGCAGCTCCACATCCTCTGGGCATTTGAGATCCATATATATCACTGCACTGGCAAAACCCATAGTGTCAGACTGGCTAAACTTGATCCCGATGCAATTTTACATCTTTCATGGCTTCCAACTTCAACCGCATATTGAAGGTGAACTGGATCCAAAACCTTGGGTAAACTGTGTACGTGAGCCAAAAGTGGACCAAAAGATGACGACTATCACAACAACTATAACGTTTCATGGCGACAGTTCTACACCAAAACAAAGTACATGGAAAAGGAGAGAAGGAAAACACAAAGAATGAGTGCCAAGAAGATTGCCTCCGGCACCAAAGACAAAGGCAAGGGTCAAGGGCAAATAGTTTTTCTTTGATTTTTGCTCTAGACGTTTAGGGTAGTCCTGTTCATTTTTTTCTCATTTTTCTTTTTCTTGTTATTTTTTAATTTAGATTTTCCTGATTAAAGCAAAAAATTACATAAATATGTTGCAATCCTATTAGAGATGTAGTCCTATTAGGGTAAAGATTCTACCTATCCTACTACTATAAATAAAAGCATAAGGTGTGATACAACACAGACTTCAGAATTACATATCTCTCTTCTCTCTCTGTTGTTGCCGACCCCTCTCCCTCTGTCCTTAATTTATACAGTTCAGTCAAATAGGCCTACAACAAAATAAAAATTTTGAATTTATTTTTAACATGATTTAAGATAAGTTTCGGTGGTAAAATCTTTAAGAAATTTTCCTTGATATATATTGATCTGGTTTTTCTACCAATCATTAACACTAAATTACTTTTAAACAATGTTTAATTAATTTTATAGTTTTTTTTTATAATTCCATAGTTTTGGTATATCTTTATCTTGATAGTTGTTTTCCAACTAAACAATCAAAATCATTTATTGGGATGAAAAAGAGAACTCATTTTGGATATGTAGTTCTTAGTCAATTAAAAAAGGATGAGGAACTCATTTTGGATGAGTTACTTTCGTCTTGGAAGATGACGATTGAAGTATGGAGGCCAATGGTAGAGAGGAGTGGGTTGAAGGCCCATAATTAAGGTAGTCATAGTGGAAACTCAACTAAGTTGACTGAAGATTCCAAAATCTAGGTTCAAAAGGAATAACTAAATTATGACAACTTGGAGTAGCACTATGGAGAATATATTCTCCTTCTACCTATATCCCATGATGATAATAGTGTTGTCTGCCATTGAGATTAGGTTAAGCTTTGCTCTTAATGATTCATATAGCTTGGAACACTTAGAATTCCAAGGGAAGTATTGCAGGATACTCTTAATGGGAAGTCACCTAACTTGAGTGTGGAATGTGGTTGTTCCTATGATAATTTCTGAAAGGGTTAATTCTATAGAGCACTCATGAGAAACTAGGAATTGTTCAAGGCCTATATGAACACAACCAAGTAAGCACGAGGTGTTTGGAAAAGTACTGTGTTTACTATTGTCATAGTTTACATAAACGACTGAGCAGTTCAAGATATCGTGTTCACTAATTAGCCAAGTAAATCCGATAGTACTTTACTATGGAAGGTTCAAAGCCAAAGCTACATATCCCAATATTGTGCCTTTCTTTCTAAATCTCTCTTTATTGTCTGCATTGTAATTTGCATAGTGTTGAGTCAATTTTCATTCATGCAAGGATTGTTGGAAATTTAGTATTATTATTATTATAATACTACATTCATTAATTGAATAGAAATTAGCATTGGTGCCTTTTGGTAGAAAAATGTGTCTTTTCAAACATGAAATTCAAATGAAGAGTTGCAATGTATGACTCTTCATGAATAGTCACATGGTTTCCGAATAGACATCTCAACTTCTATAGATAGGAAAACCCCTTATGGTCTTTTAATCACTTTTACATTCACATATTCAAGCATATAGTACACTATTGTTAGAGAGTTTTGTAATGTCTTATTGAGTCTATATGAAAGAGTTTCCAACACAATCGTGGTTCACTTGAGCCTTGTGGTTAGAAGTGCTACTATTACAAGGATGTGGTCACTGTACCTGGGAGACAAGCGACGATCAATCTTGGGCACCGTAGTAGAGTTTAAACTTATCTTAAAGACAAAATATTTAACATTTAGCTCGACTGAAATTTAGGTGTTTCTAACTCAATTCTCTTGTTCATTTAGCATTGTTTATTATTGTTTGTATGCATTAAATTGTTTATTTAAATGTATGATTTATTCTTTAATTTTATATGTGATAATATAACAATTATACTCTATTTTTCCAGCACAAACGAACTCATCCAAGGCAAGTTTTTGCAAGCTTATCATCTTAATCTCCTGTAAAACAAATGTGGCATTTGCTCTCTTTTCATGTAATAGAAAAGTTTCAGATATAAGCGCCCACTTTTATAGAGATCTTAGAAACTTAGAATGTGCAAATGAGGCTCTACTACAGCGGCAGAAAGTATTAATGTCATGTACCATGGTGCGGGTTTGATTCTCACCGATTCTCGTCTCCTAACGTTTAACAATTTAATCCACTAATGCTATCAGTTGTAAAAATAAAAAAACTTAGAATGCAATTATCATTGGAAGGAGAAAATTGCTTCTTAAATTGCTCAGATTGCTCAACGCCAATTGATTAACCTTCCTCTTCACACCCAAATTTGAATTTCTCTCTTTGTAGTTTAGATGAGTGTTGAGAGTAGAAATCTCAAAATGAGAAAAGATGAGACATTGCATGTGCTTTAAGGTAGTTAGGCTACTTTTCATATTGTCAATTGATTTGACGATGAAACCTCAACTTCTTCAATGAGTTTAGTGCATATTCTTCAATAGTTTGTCAAAGAATAAAATGAGCATAATAACTTAATAAGGGCAGCTCTAGTGGATCAAATCCAATTGTCCTAGTAGATTTCCACATATTTCTTCTAACAGTGGCAAGAGGCGAGTGAACTGCAGGTTATCATATTTAGAATGTCTCTCTTGTCTTTCTGTTTTGAGCCAAAATTTCAGTGGCGGATGAACCGATTGGAGGGAAATACTGCAACTGTAAGAACCATCTTTGTGTTGTGTATGATACTTAGACCCAAACATGCTGAGCTGAAGTTGTTGAACTCATGTATGATATCATGCGCTCTCGTAGTTGTTGGAACATATGAAATGGGATTAACTTCACAATGCTTATGAAGAAGCACTTACCAAATGTTTCGCGACTAATACAAAATGTGATTCTCTAACTTGATGGCATTTTCGGAAATCTAATAGCATGGCTGTTACAAAATTCAAAATATTTATGTCGAAAATTTGATAAAATAAAAGAAAACCTAATGAAAAAGGTTTCAAAACTTTGAATTTTAACCGAAGATAAAATAAAAGAAAACCTAATAACCAAGAGTCTCGATGATGATTTTTGGTCGTGTGCACTGTTTTAACCGCATGCTCGACCCTTTACAAATCTAAAAGCCAAAAGAAAAATTATAATCTTGTTTATTCAAGCAAATAGTGGGAGAGAAGAATCAAGTCTATAAACTAAGATGTAACGATAAATGGTCTTAACCACTTGAACTACAGGTTGGGTTAAAAATCTTTTTGTTTTTGTTGATGCAATGAGATATTTACACTAAGGGATGAAAGATTAAATTGGTTTTGAAATTGCCATTACAAAATTCAAACCTAAGACCTCTTACTTACAAGTGAAAAGGAATATCACTATACTGTAATTGGATAAAGTTGAGATTTCACTATAAAACAAATTGACAATATAGAAATTAGCTCAATTACTTATAAAGAAATGTAAAATTCTTTTTTTTTTCCTATATAGAATTTATACTCTGATAAGTAATACTAACGCCATCTCCAATAGAGAGGGCAAGGGGTCCAAAAGCCAAAAAAAGACTTAATTTGTCCAAAACTCATCTCCAACAAATGGCATGGCTATAATTCTATGGAACCCACCAGACCGTTATTTGGCCAAACGGGCATCAGGCTAGACAAATGTAGCCCCTCTCTAAGCCCTTTTTTTGGGGCTAGCTCCTCAATTGCAATAATTAATTCAAATTCAACGCCAAAATTTGAAAACATATAGTTTAATTAAATTAACCAATAAATTTAAAGTATAAACTTAAAACTAATAAATTATTGAGGCGCTATGTTTAGCATCTTGGTTGGAGATTGTATATGAATATGGCCTGACACCTATTTATTTAAAAATAATTTTTTATAAAATATAATTCTTAGCGGAATTATGTTTAGTCTTTTTTATTAGAGATAACATAATTGGCCCAGATCGGGTTAAAATCTTTAAAAATGCATAAAAAATTTGGGAATGGTACCATCACACTGGGCATGGGCCTTGAAATGGGGGACATTCGCAACTATTTGAAACCCACCGCCCCAAACCTATATATTAACCCAAAACAGCATTTCGCAAAATCCCAGATCGTCCAGCTTCAAACCTCACCAAACGGAAAGGCACAAAGAATATAAAATCGAATCGGGGAGAGAGAGAGAGAGAGAGAGAGAGAGAGAGAGAGAGAGAGAAAGCCATGGCTACTTTCGACGAAGCCCCGTCGGCTAAGAGATGGCTTCCTCTCGAAGCTAACCCTGATGTTATGAACCAGGTACTTCAAACAATCGCCTTCCCTTTCAAGCAAAAATTAAATTAATCGTAATTATTTTTGTATTTTTTAGATTATCCTCTGTTTGTTTCTCGAGAAAACGTCGGAACAGAAAATAAAATAGTTTAATTTTTTCTTGGGAGCAAAACGGAGAGCTAGGGTTTGGTGCGAATTTGATGTGGAAGATGGAGCCTTTTGATTCTTCTGGAATTAGGGTTCTAGTTTGTGATTAACAGTTGGCAAAGAGATGATCAAGTATGCTGAAGACGTATCGGTTTCCTTTGTACCAAAAATTTTAGCGAGTGAGACCCAGTTGGGGAATATTAAGTAAACATTTGCTTTTGATAGAAAGCTAAACGGGAATTTGGTTTTCGAAATTAAAATGTAATACAACAACAACAACAACAACAATGCCTTATCCCACTCAGTGGGGTCGGCGAAATTAAAAGGTAACGAGTAGCGAAAATCATTTGCACTGAAGAAAAGCGGAAAAGTGTGTGGACTATTCTATCAGCTGTTAAATGATCAAATTCAGCAAATAATACAACCTCCTAAATAAAGAACAGAAGTTCGAAAATACTATTCTTTGTCATTTTGATTACATGTACTCTCGTTTGTGTGTTATGTTGCAGATTAGATTTATAATTTTTTGTTGCACCATTGTACTTTACAATGGTTTACCTCATTGTGCAAAATACCAAATCAAATGTAAGAAATATATTTGGTCATTGCAGTTCCTTTGGGGCCTGGGTCTTCAAGAGGATGAGGCAGAATGCTTTGATGTTTACGGGTTGGATGGAGAACTCTTAGAAATGGTTCCGAAGCCTGTACTTGCTGTCCTGTTTCTTTATCCTCTAACCGCAAAGGTTATGTCTCTTAATTCTGAACTTTATGGTTGGTGTGCAACTTAAGCTCTCGGCATCTGTCTTTCTTGAACAATATTAAATCTAGTTGTCTCTTGATTTGAGGGATGTTTCTATACTTTTCAGACCGAAGAAGAGAGAATGATGCAGGCAAATGAAAAACAGGTGAGTGATAGGAAATTTGATTGGATGCTCTCTATAAAATGAAAACCTTGTATTCTTGCGCGGGTTGTTGGACCTGTGATCTCTCTCTGCATATATGTGGATGGTGCGTATCTGCATATTCATGCGATGATAGTAACTATTGAGAGATCAGTTGTGTATTGAAATTTATGTTCAGATTCAACTATGTTTTATGTTTTCTTATCATGCTCACTTATTTTCGATTGTGTTAATTCGTTTTACTGACTTCTTGCGTACTTGGTTTTTTTGCTTTGTGTTTCCAATGATTTACTGATCAAAAGAGAATTTTGTATTGAAATACATTCTGTCTTGATTTGAAGTAGTATGATTTAAGTAGATGTTTTGCAATGCATATCCCGACTGTAGGAACCCAAAGGTAGTGTTTATTTTATGAAACAAACTGTGGGCAATGCTTGTGGAACTATTGGGCTTCTTCATGCTGTTGGAAATATCACGTCAGAGATCAAACTTGGTAAGTTCTATACTGTTTTCCTGTTATGGGTAAGTTCTGATTAGATTTATTCATGGAAGCTATGCGTTCTCCGTCCTTTGGCTTTCTTTTTTCTCGTATTCCTGTTTCTCTTACCTAACAACATTTGGATCACCCTGCTTTTCGAAAATGCAAAACGGTTGCATGAACATCCGGATCAATATAATTAAAAAGATAATTAATAATATAGAATACCTGGGGAAAGTAGCATACCATTGGAAATGAGCTTCTTGGTAATTATCACCCAGGTGTGTGCCATTCTAGTTTCTAACTAGGACAGTACATGTTTGTGGACCACCTAGCTGTGGAAATTAGGGATATAGAATCCCGAAACCAGAGAGTTCTAGATACCAAAATTGTTCCCTTAAGTAATTCCTGTGGAGGAATGAGCTTGATTTTTGTTAAGTATGCAACCTTGGAAAACATGCTTCCCCGTTGAAGCCAAAATTAATGAATTAATTTCTTTCTGGACGATTGCTTACTATTTCTTTTTAAATTTTAATCACAGTTCTTTTTTCCATGTTATCCCCTTTTTCTTTTCAGTTGAGGATTCATTCTTGGATAGGTTTTTCAAAAAAACTGCAAGCATGGATCCATTGCAGGTTCTATTTTCCTTTCCCTCATTATTTTGTCCTTTCAGTTTGACCAATAGAGCCACATTATTCTTCTTGCCTCTTATTGTCATCTATTTTTCATACAAATGTAGCGTGCAGCATTCCTTGAAAGTGACACAGAAATGGAAGTTGCTCATTCAGTAGCAGCTCATGGTGGCGATACAGAGGTGATATATTTTAAGTAGCATAGAATATTATATAAAGTACCAATCTCTCCACTTTTCTTTTCTTCTGTTTGGTTCAGATGGTTTGTACTTCTTATGTCTAACCCTGTTTCTTTGCAGGCATCTGACAATGTGGACACTCACTTTATTTGCTTTGCATGCGTGGACGGTAATGCTTTTTCTATATCTGTTTATTAATGACTTAATTGATCAGAGATGGTTCTTGAAGAGTTGTTTTACCCTACTGTACGATTTGTGATTTCAATATCATCTTTTAATATGTAGGGGAGCTTTATGAGCTTGATGGGAGGAAGTCAGGTCCAATCTCTCACGGTCCATCTTCACCAGATAGTTTATTGCAGGTATTTAAGATGCCACTGTGCTCTCTGCGAATTAGAGGAAGAACACACAATCAATGCCTAAACATATAAAAAGTTTTAACTGTCCATTTAGTAACCTTTTCTTTTTTTTGGTCAAGTAAAGAGAGGGAAGAGGCATAATATCCGAAGATTATAAATGGATGAAGTTTCGAGGGAGAAAAGAAATTATAATTGAAACCGTTTTGAACTGATTTAAAAGTTAATGTGTCTGTTTTGGAAAATTCGATCATAACAGTTTAATTAGTTATTCTCATGTGTTTATTTTGGCTCATTTCAAGTGGGAACGTGTTGGCCTTCTACCCGAGTCTTTGTGTACAGTTTGCAGCCCTTCATCACCCATTTTGATAAGTTTTTTATTGCATAACAGGATGCAGCTAAAGTCATACAGGGCATGATCCAGAAAAATCCTGACTCCCTCAACTTCAATGTGATTGCAATTTCAAAGAAATCCGGTGGGTTTTCTTAAGTTGGAATGCATCCATGTCCTTCAAAAGTGGTCAAAAGTTTAATGCAGTGGTAGCACTTGATGTACGCATCTTTACACTGAACAGATTTTGTTTTTCCTGGTTAACATGTGTGCTAGCATCTATAGCATAAGCTTACTCAACTGCATTAAACTGGCTGTAAAATTCTGACTATAGCCTTGGTGTGTACCGATCACGCCTGTTGGGCATAGAATAGAGTTCCGTGTTTTTATAAGGGAAATGTTATTGACACTTCAAAAATCTCATTCTACACTCCTTACAAGTGTATTTTTCTTGTCAAATATAGTAAGTTTGGAGTGCCAATAACAATTCCTTTTCTTAATCATGCAGTGTTAATGATCTCGGGAAACCAAAACCAAAACCAAACTCATTTCCGACTTCTAGTTCCCTAGAGTGTCAAATGAGTATGATTGTACGGCGTGAAATGTGTCTATTGCATTGGCGTGACAGCATGCTAGATAATTAGATTTTATGGTCATTTGCACGGCGTGCTCAGAATATTTCAAAGAGAATGCATAGAAACCGAGCCTCAGGGATCGGTATGGAACTTAAGTAAGAGGTCAGAGTGAACAACTATTACACACTAGTTCTTTCTTGGCCGTTGCAACCAATTGTCATATTTTAGTGTTCGTTTGATGTCCATCATCATGTGTACTGTGTATCATTTCGGATGCTGCCTGGACTGCTCTGCTCGTTGGTTCTTGATGTTCCCAACATTGCATGCCAACGTTGAAGCCAGCCGGTCAAGTTTGTCAGCGCCAACTGGGTGCTGTCCTGTCACATAATTGTAAGCCCAGTAAAATACCACCATCGCGGTTGCCCCAAGCCCTACGGACATAACAAGGCCGGTAGTCAGCAGAAGCATTGCAACTGCTGCTGGTACCAACACCTAGCTGAAGATCACCAGCAATGGTGGTGCTGCCAGCAAAGCAATAACAACCGCCGTGAGTGTCAAACCAGAGAGGACGGAGAGAGACCGGAAAAGGTTATTGCAGTTGAGGTCTTGGCTAATTGATAAGAGAGGGTTTTGTGGATTTTGAACCATTTATGTGCGTGTCAAATTATGATTTGTTTTCAAAGGACCATCTGAAGCGGCCTTTGAAGGGACTTACACAAGGAGTTTAGGCATTATTCATGATCCTTTGAAGGGACTTGCACAAGGAGTTTAGGCATTATTCATGATCTATCATGAAGACTCACAGACTAGTTTGATACTGGCATAAATGTCAGTTTGAATTTGGTACGAACTTGACTTGTCGATCAAGCCACTGCATATCGTTGTCCAGCAGAACATAATCAGAAACAGCGGGATGGCAAAATTGTTGCCAGATACTTAAGCTGTGAGGCAATCTAGCTCGCTAGCTAGCAGCACGAGACATGGCCCTTGGATGCTTAGACCCAACACGACGTGATGAGGAAATAATCAATTAAACCCCATGATTTAGAACTTCATTCCCACGAGCCAATTACACCAAAAGTTTACATGATAAACTCCTATTCCAGCATTTAACAAAACCAAAGTTTATACGCTTTCGGCAGGAATTTCATGATCAAGGTCTTTCTTTTTTATGGGGAATTTTCTTCATGACGTGGAACTTGATTTCGTCGTTCAGAAACAATTCCATAGCTTCTCAACCGTCAGCTTCATCTAAATCTGGAACTGCAGTCACTTCAGAATATACGTCATCAACAGTCGGTCATTTTTTAGTTAAAAGATTGCATGAACTTGGTAAGAGCGTTAGCCAACCTCACAATTTCAGTAGCAAGGATATCATCTGCTTCGCTTTCATATCCTCTTCACTGCCATCATCTACTTCCCTTCCATCATCTTCTTCGCTTTCATCGTCTTCTTCGCTTTCATCTTCCTCTTCCATTTCTTCTCTTCCTCTTCGCTTCCATCATCATCACTTTCATCATCTTCTTGACGTTGATACCAAACCACTATTGCAGCTAACAGAGCACCGATCTAAAACAAGTCTACTCACAAAAAAGTATACGACGACATCAGTTTCTCCATCCATTCAACTTTAAATTCTTAAGCAATGTAACATTACTGACACGACGAAGAGTCTAGTCCATTTTCAGATTCACAAAAGGCATATATAATTTGACTATTATTCATGTGCCGGCAGACTTAGGATCGTTTTGCAGTTTCCGGCTTTGTTTCATTCGCGTTTTCTTCATGCCTACTTTAAGTGCTGCAATCAAATGTAGAATTTAACACCAACTGGAGTAACAAAAGCATCACTCGAATGTACAGATTAAATCAAAACTCCTTCAAATTTAGTTTACATAAGCCATGAGACCTTATGCTTTATACAAAATTTAAGTAGTTTAGTGTACTTGAACCTCAATCATAAAAGATTACTAAGACTATTTTGACAAATCAATATTCTAAACTACTCTAGTCTACATAATACTTTAATCTATGGGAGGAGAATTCGAACTTGGGTGCAAGGGTGCGCACACTGCCTAGACCAACTGGTCTAATCGACATTTGCAAGATTTTATTTTTCAATGAAAGGATGATAATGGATTAAGCGAGTCGAACTATAGATAAGTTTGGTTGTCGGACTATAACAATAGCCTTACTTTCTAAACCCACACAAGGCGGTTAGAAAGAATGAAGAGTTTTTCGTTTAGGAAGTTTTAGGGTTTAGGAGTCTTGCGATTGTAGCCGAGGAAGGAACTCATCTCAGCCTTTGGGTTCTATAGCCTGAAGACAAGGCTGCTAGTTTCTTCGAAGTTCATGAATCGTTGGCGCCGGGTTCGGTCTTAGTAATTATATTTGTGCAAATATAAGTACGCAGAACTAGTATTAGATTGTACAGACACAAAAACTCAAAAGAGATAAGTGTTTTGATTGTAAATGTGGTTTGATCGTCTGAATGCCAAACTCTAAAATGTACTTGTGAATATCCAATCATAAAATAAACTCAGCTTTCAATGTGCTGAGCCTGATAACACATCACTTCGTCGAGAAAGCTGATGAGATGACCTATTCCAAGAAGGACACGGAAATCCTTGTTGACTGAGACTTGGATAAATAATCAGTCGATCTCGAAGCAGTGTTGTTTATCCACACTGAATGTGCTTCTTGGTCGGCTGATCTATGGCTTTTGTGTTGTTTTTCCAAACGGAAGATGTCGCCGGTTGCCTCCATAGTACTGTTTATCCAAACTGAAGAAGTGTTGGTGGGAGAAAAGAAAATAAAAATCTCAACGTGTTTGAGAAGTTTGTGGGCAGTTGTGTATTGAATTGGAGAGGGTTAGAATGATGCACTCCCTTCTCTATTTATGGCAGCAATTTCCTTAATAACCAAGTTAGAATTTTACTCGGACTAGAATTCCTCATCCTAATCTGATTAGGTTTCGACCAATCTTAACTCCCATAGGATTTTGAATCAAGTTCTTTAATCACTCAGATTTAAGTCTTGATTCTCGGCATATTTTATGATTCGAAGCATCCTTAACTTCTAAAGAATCCTTATTACACTAGGATTCAACCACTTCACCCTTATTCAGGCAAAACCATCTTCTGATAAGATTCGGCCGAACTCTTATAGACTTGGCCCATAGCAAAGAACATTCCCGATATTCCTTATTGGATCAAGAATAGTTCTAGGCTCAGCCCAAAGTATTATTTTGGGCCAAATACTTTGGGCCCAAACAAAAATAAAACTAAAATTTATCAACAAACGCATACCCAATAATCAAACCTATTATCACCGAATCTTTATCCTCCGTTCATTCTAGCTAAAACTCTAAGACGTTCTCATAGAGAAAGACAAGCTCTTTTTGAAAGATGGAGATGATGATTTTGAAGTTTTGAATCGTCCAACTAAGGTATGAATCGATTTATGCAATTTTTTTTCCGTTTGATTTGACAATCAACCCCTTTTATCAAAGCATAATTACTAGCAAAAACATATGTAAGATTTAAAATTTTAAAGTCTAGCTACTTGTGTGAATATCATGCTTTCTTTTCGTTTCATTCGTGAAGGGTGGAGGCTATACTTTGCTTGTAGTTATGATGGCAGTGCATAGCAGCAATATAGCGACTGTCCTTGAACTTGAAGGTGTTGAGTTCTTTCTATCTAGTGAAAGAAATGCATGTACATTGTCTCCAAAAGATTCCCCGTCTTCCTTTTGTTTCATTTTGTCATAATTTATTTCAGTTGTTAGATGTTGAAGATGTTTTAATTTCATGAAAATATTGGAATGTGATTTTCAAGTAGGTTTGTAGCATAGAAAAACATGCCTTCAATTTCAGAGGTGAACTTTTTATCTTGATAATGATAATTAAAACATAATCTTGTTTTAATTACGAGATTATTAGGTACCCTTATCCTCATGTAATGGGAAGATGGTGTGCCTCTACTTCTCTGCAAATTCGTGTGGGCCTTGTAGGGCTCTTACCTCTCAGATGGTGAAATGCTTTGAGTGGAAGGCAAAGAGTTTCAGATAATTTTTGTCTCCTCCGACTGTGATGAGGAAAAATTCAATGAACACTTCCAAATGCATAAACGTCGAAACGTCTCTTCATAATGATTGTGCCTTAAAGTTCGTCATTACACACAATTATGCAACCTCGATTTGCATGCTTTTTGGCCCATTCAACTAGATTTTTGGAATGATTGCAAAACATTTCTGCATTTACCCCACAACTTTTGAATCTGAGACCATCGATCTTCTTTCCTAATTGCCTATAAATACTAGTTCCTGCCTTATTCTAATTTTACACTCTCAAGAAATCCTAGAAGTCTTGCCATCTTGCTGTCAATTTTTTTGAAACCCAGAAAACCTCAAAGCCCTTGCTCTAATGGCTATCAACACTTTCATTACCAAGGTTGCAGAAGAATGCGACAAATGTCGCGACTTCATAGATCATAATGCCATCAAATCTCTCCGTTTTGAAGATGAAACAGTCCTTTCCCACCAAGCTCTGGGACCTTTATTGAAGGACAACATCCTAGAACCCATTAATGAGATGTTGAAGAAGCACTGTTTAAACCTTATTTTCCAAGGCCATGATTGGTAAAAATGGAATTCGGCTAAACCCCAAGGATCATGGTCATCTACTCCCGTGGCTTGGGCTGCTTGGGTAAACCGAATAGAACCTCATTTCGGCACTACCTGGAAGGAACTTGATATCTTTGATGCCATCAAACTCTCAACAATTGAGATCATCATGGACCAAGAACTCTTGATGGCC